GGCATTCCCTGAAAAACATGCTGCTTCGTTTTGGGGATTCAAGAGTGAGGGTTCAGGGTTCGAGCTTCCGGCTTTATGACGTTCTACGCAACTTTGCCGGGCTTTGAGAGGCGTCGGGTGTCAATTGTGATAAGTTGTCGTCAGGTTTCCGATATTGACAATTCTGACGAGAATGACAAGAAAAAAGACGATGATTAGGATCACCACGATGAATCCATTTTCAATGGTGTTGACGATGATTAGAGTTGCCTCCACTTCCGCTGACGATGACGGTAATGCTGGTGGCGGAACCAGCATGTTGTTGGCGAGACTTTTGGAATATTGGCAGCAGGATGAGTATACGTGGCGGTGGTTGTAGCAGCTGGGCGTAGACCTCCATAGTGGATGTGAAACAAAGATCCCCCCTGTCAAAGCTGGAGTCCGGCAATGGCGAAGCCTAACCTTTGGACATTTGCCTGGCGACAGAGCCAAATTACAGCCAGCAGTCCCCCAACGTCAAGTCTCTGGACCACGTGACTTCAAACGAACTAGATCTGACTTTCTTCGGAGACTTTTTTTTTGTCGCAGGCGCGGTCCGTGTGAGCTGGTCGGAGTGCCTTTTTCAGTCTGTAGTGATGTGTCACCACTTAGTGTGGCCTTGGGCCCTAATTGGCCTGTGTCGGGACCTTGACTTTACAGCTCCCGGTTGCAGGGTCGCATGGTCCGGAGCGGGGTGTTGGCAATCATGTAGGCTTGGTTGGTTCAACCTCATTCCTCTCTGGGGTAATTCGTCGGCAAACTGCAGAGCAGTACGCAAGGCTGTAAACTGTTGATGTTTGCTTGACTGCAATAAAGGCATTCGGGTAGTCATGCGTCCTCGCCTGCGTGAAAATTCTGAGGACGGTGTGCCTTCGAAAGCAAAGTAGGAACTTGAAGAATCGACGATGTCTCCATGCCCTCTTTTTGCAGCGTTGTCGTCAAGCACGTCGTGCCCCCCAGTCCTGGTGCAATGCTGCACCTTTCCTACAGGTGGTATTTTGCGCAGATTTTGGGGGTTGCGGTTTGAGTTGTTTGGGTGCCAAGCTTGCTTTTTCCTCGCTGCTCCACCGCCATGCTTACAAGGTGTAAGAGCTTCCCTTGTGCCGCCCTTCCTCAAAATGTGCTCAAGATATGAGCACTAGTACTTGTCATGATTTCTGAGCCCCGACATGGTTACTTGCCCAGAGCAGGAGAAGCGACAATCCTCAGATGGGCCTCACCTGGCCTCACGTGTGTTTGGGATGTCGCTGTGTGGTCCGAGCACTCTGTTGCAGAGTTTCCCGGTTGGTTCTGAGTTACTGTGCAGCGCATGGTCTCCCGTCGCTGTAACATCGATTCTCAAGGAGAGGCTAGTGACGACACGGAGGAGCAGACGCTGTCCTTGTTTAGGGTGGCAAGGGCACCGAAGCAGGAAAGTTCATAGATTCGGGAGAGATCGGTTCCGGCAGCAGTTGTACAGCATGGGGTCAGCTACATCCGTCTCCGACAGCGGGGCCTTCACCTCAGACTCAGAAGCCCTGCAGCAACAAAGTTGAGCTGCATCTAGCTGCACTTGCATCTTAGCTGAGGACCCATATTGGCGTGACAATCCACAGACTTCAGCTCTGGGTGGACGCGATGCCAGATCCCTACTGCTAGCATGTTGCTGAAGGCCCTGAAGCGAGTGACAGGATCCTTGACCCGCCCTCATTCCGCAGTCGGATCCTGCGCCCTGATATGAGAGGTCTACTCGAGCAGTGTGCTGTGCGGCGCCCGGCCGTTTGACCATGACACGTGAGATCGAAACTAACAGTCACCATAGTTCCCTCAAAGCGTTCGTAGACGTCCCTGCAAGCCTTGCAAGTGGAGCCTAGGGGCCATCTTCCCTCCCCGTTCACAGGCTTGCAGCTCAGTTTCGGGATGAAACGGGGAAGGGATGCATGTCCCTAGCTCTGGTGGTGCTTTTATGAAATCCGGAGTTCTTTCCGTATCTTGCGGCCGTTGTCCTGAGTATCTGTGTATGCCAAAAGCGGAGTTGCGGCTCCTGAGGTCGCCCTGAGTATGCTCGAGCCCAAGCCCAGCAATGGTTGTGCAGGGAAGACTTCAGCGCGTAGGTTCTTCAGAACGGTCCCACCTATAGGCTCTGAGACTGAGCCCATCTGAGTCAGGGACGCGCGCGTGTCCTTGGTGTGGTGTTTGCAGAATGGAAGGTGCTGGCGGAGTCGCGCTCCCCAACCGAGCAGGCTCCAGGCGAGGGAAGTCCCAAGAGCGAAAGCTTCGCCAGGAAGCGCCTCCCCCCCCCCCTTTTCCCCCTCCCCCGTTTGCAGGACTGCTGCCAAACCCACATGGGCCGACCCTTCAGCCATCAGGCGGGCAGCCGAGGAAAGAAGGAGTTGGGAGCTCTCCCTCCCAGACTTTCGGGATTTGGGCTTCAGACGTTTCGGCTGTGGCTGTGGGGTTCAGGTTCGGCTATTTCGGGGTTCCAGGTGCTTGCACGGAGCGCTTGAAAGTTGAGGTTTCAGTTTGAGGCATCCTGTAGCAGCAGCAGTAGCAACGGTCGCGGTCGTGCTGTGGCGGCTTCGTCGTTTGCTTGGCGTCTTTCGCTCCACGTCCGCAAGTACGACATGTCGTCTAACCCCAAAAGCAAAACCTGAAGCTTAAACTTAAACATATCATCAAATATTCGTCTTTGGACAGGTTTGAAGGAAGCGCCTCGGTGCAGGTTTCTCCGTGAGCAGAGATCCGGTTTACGAGCGCCAACCGCTCGCGATGCCGTACGGCCAGACACTCAGAAGTTTAGAAGGTTTTGGGACATGCCTATTGGGGAGGGGGGGGGGGCAGGGTAGGGGATTTACGTCCACCGCCACATTCTGACCTTGTGCCGAGGGCTGCCAAGTGGAGATGGGCGCGTGGCTTCTTCCCTCTGGCCAGCCAAGACTACACCAGGACTTTAGCTTGATTCCTCTGGCTTTTGGGTATCCGTGTGCTGTTGAGAGTTTAGAGCCTCTGTTGTTCGATCTTCTGATCTCGTATTCTGGGACCGGGCGCAAGCCGCTTTGCGCTCCAGGACCCGAGTTCCCGGAGGCAACGTTTCACCAAAAGCCCTCAGCTGAGATAAGGCAGAGAGCCTCTTTGAGCTTTGCAGATGGCATGCTGCATATTCTTCTGGCCCATGTCTCTACTCACCTGATCTTCTTCGCAAGATGCTTGGGCTCAAA